CAGCAAGGGCTGCTGTTACACACAGAAACCCTGTCTTGAAAAACAAAACAAACATTTGTGAGGCTCGAGAGATGGCTCGGCAGTTGAGAGCACCTGTTGCTCTTGCAGAGGACCTGGACTTGGTTTCCAGAACCTACTGTCAGAATACATACACTGAGGCTTAACACTTAAACACATAAAATGAAACTTTAAACTTTAAAACTTTTTAAAAAAGAACATTTGTGTTTTCCTTATTTCTCTATATTCCAATTAGAATGGAGCTCCATTAAAATTTAAGCGACTTAGGGATGGAGAGATGGCTCAGTGGTTAAAAGCCCACATTGCTCTTGCAGTGGACCAAAATTCCGTCTCCAGCACCAGGCAGCTCATAACCACTTGTAAGATCAAATCCAGGGAATCTGATACCTCTTCTGGCCTTCACAGATGCCTGTACTCATATGAACATACCCACACAGAGACATACACATATATGTAATTAAAAAGCCTTTAAAAAATTTTTAAGGGTCCCTTTAACACAATATAAAAGCCTTATTCTGTTAATATGCTCAATTATAGATTTTCAAATTCAAAACCAATCTTGGATTTGTGAAAAAAGCCATGTTTGGACTTGATATATTTCGTATGTTTATATACTAATCCTTATGTATATGATATGTTAAGAACTTTTTACATTTATGTTCATAAAGAAGTCTTAGTAATGTCATTCATTGTCTGGTTTTATTGTCAGAGTTACTTTGGTATCCTGGTTTGTTGACACAAACCCAGACATTATCTGGGAAGGATATGAGACTGGCCTGCAGGCAAGCCTCCGGGGGCATTTTCTTAATCAGAGGTTGACGTAGAAAGGTCAAGCCCATTCTGGGTGGTGTGCCTTTGAGCAGGTAGTCCTGAGGAGAAGCAAGCACTCTTGCATGACTTCTGCTTGAGTTCCTGCCCTACCTTCCCTTGGTGATGGACTGACCTAAGAGTGGTAAGAGAAACCTTTTCCTCCCCGCTGCTTTTAGTCATGGTGCTTCACCACATACACAGAAACTCTAACGAAGACGTGGTTTAATAAAAGTAGCTGGAAGTTAACTCCTCCACTTTTTAACCTTTTGTAAAACTGGTGTTATTTCTAAGTATTTAATGAAATTGACTTAAGAATGTGTCTGGCATTTTGTTGGAAGGTTTTCTGTAACTAACTCAATTTCCTTAGCAAGTGTAGAGAATTGCTAGGTAGCTTGTAAAAGTTCTTTGGCTGATCAATTTACTGCCTGCCTCTCAGTTCCCAATTCAGTCTTCAGTCTAGACTCTTTGATGATGGCCCGAGTTCCTCAAAGATTTCTCCGTGCTCTGCAATGACACTGAGGGATTTTCTCAGTAGAGGGTACTGGAGGGACACCCGAGGCTTTCCTGCAGCCACATGGAAGGCCAGTGATGTTGACATAAGGACATCCAGTAGAGCACTCCCCCATTCATGAATCTAGTACGTGTGGTGCTGGAAATTGAACTCAGGACCTCTGGAAGAGCAGTAGGTGCTCTTAACCTCTGAGCCATCTCTCCAGCCCCCCCTTTTTTCTTTTTTTAAAGGGATTACATGAGCAAGGGTGGTAAAGATCATGACGGGGAAATCTACAGCAACAACTGAACCAAGCTCAAAGGAACTCAGGGAATTTAGACCAACAGCTGTGGAACCTGTGTGGGATTGGACTAGACCCTCTGCATATGGGGGACAGTTGTGTAGCTGGGTGTGTTTGAGGGGCCCCTGGCAGTGTGATCAGGATCTATTCCTGGTGCATGAGCTGTCTTTCTGGATCCCATTGCCTATGGTCAGACATCTTGCTCTTGTTTGATAAAGTGGGGAGGGGCTTGGTCCTGCCTCAACAGAATGTATCAGGCTTAGGTGTCCCACCATGGGAGAAGTTACCCTGTCCTGCCAAACATCTTAAGAGTAAACTTGGAAGCTTATCCTTCCACACCTGAGCAATAAAACGATGGCAATGCTAACTAACTTTTGGACTGCAGTTTCTGAAGATTCATAGGACCCATTTAAATCACATTCAACTTCCTGACCTATAGAATCTGAGACAGAAGTACTGTGGTGTTACACTGCTGTTTGGGGGGTAATTTATGTGACAATAGAAAACTAATACATGGAAATGACAATTTACTTTATCATTTGTGTATCCATTTTTGCAAACTCTATTTTTAAAAACTTTCTTTTTATGTGTATGGGTTTTTTGCCTGCATATGTGTCTGTACACCGTGAGTGCCTGTTGCCCGTGAAGCCCAGAAGATATCAGATCCACTACCACTGGAGTTACGTAGTTCTGATTTGTCATCTGGGAGCTGGAAAGCCAGGTCCTCTGGAAGAGTAGTGTTCTTAACCACTGAACCATCTCACCAGCCCTGGTAAACTGAATTTTTAAGGAATTCATCTAAGTTGACACTTCATCATCCTCTTCAGAGGTAGACAGTAAATACCAGCTTATTTACTCAATATTTCAGAAATAAAAATTATATCCACACAAAAGCACTTATACAAATGTTTATAGCAGCTTTATTTGTAATAGAAATTTGAAACAACTTAAAATGCCTTTTAATGGATGATGGTTAAACAAACCCCGATATAGCTATACCATGGCATATTACTCAGCAATATAAAGGAACAAACTATTAATACATGCAACAACTTGGATGAAGTTCAAGGTAGTTGTGCTGAATTCAGTAAAAAAAAAAAAGCCAATTTCAGAAGGTTACATATGGTATAATTTCATTTATATAACATCATCACCATGACAAAATTACAGAGATGGAGAACGGATTAATGGCTACCGGGGTTCAGAGTAATGTAAAAGAAAAAAAAAATGATGTGAATATAAAGGGAGAAAAGAATGAATGAGAGGAAACAGTTGCTATTTTAGCAATAGGTTTTCCACGAACTTACACTTGAGAAAATTGCATCAGAACCACCCATACACCCTACTGCATGGGTGGGCATATAAAGGTGAATACACAGGAAGCTGAGGAGGGGTAAATAAGGTCTATGGATTGCATATGATGTCAGTTTTCTGGTTCTGATATTGTACTAGTTATGCAAGATACTGCCATGGGACAAACTATGTGAAGGGTACATGGTAATGTCTGTACTTTCTGTAACTTCCTATCAATCCATAAGTATTTCAAAATATAGTTTAAAAAATACTTCAATAGATCTTCATTCTCTTGGACTTAGATATCTACATTAAACTGCACCTCTTGTTACTCTCCATCTGATCCTCATTGAGGTTTGGTTTTGAGAAAATCCTAAAAGACCCAGTCATGAAGCTATCTCATGGGCATCTGAGCTACTCTGTTAAGCATGTTATTTCAACAGGGATTAACTATAAATCTCTCTGAAATTTTACTTCTCCCATGATGCCTTTCCTTGCTGGGTGTAAAGTTGTACACCTGTGATCTTAGCACTCAGGATTGTGAGTTCAAGGCCAACAGGGCTACACAAGACCTACCCCTGTAGTAACTCGTTTCCTCTGCCTGGTTCACCTCTTCATGGCTTTTCTTCTTGCTTCTTCTATACTCTGAAGTCACTCTGGGGCTTAGTCAAGAGTGCATGTGAGCCACCATGTGTTGCTGGGACTTGAACTCAGGACCTTTGGAAGAACAGTCAGTGCTCTTAACCGCTGAGCCATCTCTCCAGGCCCCAGAGTGCATGTGACAATTATGTCTGTCCTCAGCAAAACAAGGTTTGTAATCTTTAAACAAATTTCAATCACCTAATAATGTACAGATGTCTAGTGGACTTTTTTGCACAGCAAATCTGGTCAGTCGTTCTTCCCAACTTCAATCTTCAAGCTCATCTCTTTTCCTCCATCCCTGCATGTTGGTCATGTAGTCTACACTTTCTTGCAGCCTCTTTACTGGTCTACTCCAGCTTCATCTTTCACATTATTGCCCAAGTATCCTTTCTAAAATCTTAAATCATTCAGCTTATTAACTTTCAAGATTCTCTTAAGATTGCTTTAGTATGGTATTCAATGCCTATCTCCCTCTTCTTGCAGTGTAAAAGGGCAAATTCTCAAAAGTATCTATATTCCTTTTCTTGTCTGGAAATGGTGACAATAATCTACATTGTAACACTTAGAACTCTGGAACATACTCAATGCTCTGAGAACTGGCTGTTTATATTATTACTCCATGAAGTCCCATTTCTCAATCACACTTTCCACTAAGGTGGAAATGGATTCAACTATCATCACCATTACCTTTTTGAGAGACAGAAAGATGGCAGAACTCTGACTCTATTACTTTCTGGTTATGAGATCTTGGCAAATACAAAACAGGATTAAAATACAAAATAGAGGTAAAAATCAGGGGGTCATGAAGGTAACCTGTTACTGATTAAAAAATGTTATTCAGGATTTAAAGTCTAGCCAGAGGTTGCCTCACAGAGAAGCACCCACTCTGGCTCAACATAGCTACAAATGGCCCCTTTGTATGTAGCTTTCTGAGCTATTCAACTTGGTCTTTCCCATTTCTAAACTCTGAGCTTCTAGGGAAAGAGCTCATTTCATTGTCTTAAAGACCGGCACAGACAGGGGCGTATGACACATCTGCTGGGTGAATAAATAAAGGGACCCAGGGGTCAATGACAATGGTGCTGAGATTCAGGCCTTTTTGTTTTTTAAATTCTGAAGCCTACAGAATGATTTTCATACTTTCATAACACAAGATTTTGTCCTATTTATGACTCTGTCCTATTATCTCCCAAAGATGGTAAACTCAGTATTATTTTTTTTACACCACCTCTCAGTTAAAAAGTGCTCTATTTTGAATGAAATGTCAGACAGAATTAAATATTTCAACTTCCTTGGGCCTACTTACTTCCCAATGATATACCAATGAAGTAAGGATCATTTAAGTCCCTACTTAAGGAGTGTCTTTCCAGCTTTATTAAGAAATATCAAGAAAATTAGGACAACTAAAACATACCATAAACTTAACATTGACACTAAGCAAACAACTTTTAAGGTGGACAAATAATTTTATTTTGTGCATGCAAATACATGTCAAGTACTGCAAACTTTTTCCATCAATTTTTCTCTCAAACACTGAAAATCATGATGCTCTATTTTGTGAACAGCCAAAGCTAATATCTCTTCACTTCAGTGCTACAGCAAAAACACACAGAATTCACTCTTTGCTATTCACTATCATCACAACCCTCATTGTTCCGTGTCTGCCCACCCCCCACATACAGGCCTTAGAAAGTCCTAGCCTTCCCGCTTTAATCCTATTCCTATAGCACAAAGGGAAACATTACAATTTGGAAATTCAAATTGAAATAAATGGAATAGAATTTATTCCCATATATATTCCCCATTTCATTGTACAGAATTATTTTATAGTTTTAAATAGAAGCTGAGTATATGCCTTAAAAATGAGCATTAAATCCATCTTAGAGATGGTGCCTGCTTTTTACATGATGGGTGTACACCATCTTTAATTTCATTTACATTTCAATCGAACAATAGATTTGCAAAGAAAATGTCTAATACAGACGTAAAAATATTCACACTAAGCTTCACAATCGGTTGTACAATTGACAAACAGGCCTCTTTTCCCAAACTTTCCAGCTAAGCAAATTTATAAAATGTAATCAATGCAACAAGAAAAACATTTCTCTTTCACTTCCAGGGAAAAGAATATGCAATAAACAGTATAAATGCAGACAGCAGTTGCTGCAAGCTAACCACGATACTCCCAAGTGGCTGTACAGGGGGTATGTGCAGTACAAATAAAAGCCACATGTGTTGTATCACAACTACAGTATAATTGTTTGCCCAGCTAAGAGAATGCATGCACTTCCATGCCGTGGGTTATAAAGTGAGGCCTAATTCTTGACAGGTTGATGGAATATGTGCAAATGACCTTGGCTTTTGGCAGTACTAAGTGCAGCCAGTGTCTGTTTTCCACTGGTTTAGGGAATATTTTTAAATTTTATATAAGAGAAAAAAAAATAATTGCCAGTTCCAGACTTGAGGGAATAACTCCCCTTAGAGTAAAAATAAGTCTCCACTCAAATGTGGGGTGTTCTGATCTGTGGTTTGACTCCTTGTACTCCCTTGCCAGCAAAGGGATACAAAGAAACAGCCAGTGTAAAGGAGTTACTAGCAAACTTAATTTCTAGAAAACGGGATACTCCTTGAGCATGTTCATTTGTGTTCTGCTTGCAGAAGGGGCCCTTCTGTAGAAGGAGTTACAGTAAGTGATCCCATCAGTACTCTTGATTCACCAAAACACAAGGAAAATTCTAAGACACTAATACATAGCTGCAATGCAACTTTTTTCTTTAATGATTTGTTACCAATATTGGTGACAGTCTGCTCAGAAAACGACTCAAAGAAACAAGGGAAGAAATACTCAGATTCATAGCTGAAATCATATACTGAATCTGACTGTTACAAGTTCCAACCCTGGCTAAAAAGACAACATGGGCTGTATCACATCTAAAATTCAAAAGTAGGGTATATGGTTTTTAAACAATTTTTTTCAAATGGTTAAACGATCCCATTCAAAAGTCCTACAAATCAATGCATTCTGCAGTCTTCTGTATATAAAATCAGGATGTGCTTGGTAACTCAGCATCCATTTGAAATCTGGGTCAAAGTGACTAGGATCCATACAAATGGGAAATTTTATTTTATTTATTTATTTTTTTTTTGTATGAGAGGTTTCATTTAATTCTCTTAATAGAGCAAAAAGCTATGAAAGGAGAGAATCAGTGCCACGGGCCTAAAGAGCTACCCTTTTTTGAAAATTACAATGTACAACTGTTCCCACATATACTGGTTTGTTGCATGGCATTGAAATAAGTTATGGTAGCAAAGGCAAGAGAATCTGATTTGTTTAGGTACCAAGTAGAAGGAATACACATAGAACTCTTAGAATTCATAAAATGAAACGACCCCACACAAGACTAATGATGTTATATTCAGAGCATCTGAATGTGGCACACTGACTAGGAACTGGACTCAGAAATTGGAAACAAAAACAAAAACAAAACATAAGGAAACCCACACCATTTTCCTGCTTTTCAGACTTCAGACTGCTTTTTCCTGGCAGTTTAGATATCAACGTTACAAATTTTCTCTTCTATTGCATTGTAGCCTCTGATCCCAAATGCAAGACAAGCATTACTTTAAGTGTTCGAGACATACCAATAAGGTTGGCAGGTACACATAATGTCTTGATAAAGGGTCAAAGTGATCACTGAACTCAATTTTAAAAGCCATGTTCTAGGTCTGTTTGTACTATTTTCCTCTATGACATCAGTAGGTACTACTTTGAAGAAAGGTCAGATGAACTGTTCTTTCTTCTCAAGTGGCAGAGATCCAATGGCTTTATTTCACATTAAACCCACCAAAACAGACAGTAGGTTGTCACCACATAAAAGATGCAATACAGAATAACATCAACACAGAAACAATTCCTATGTTGTTAGTGAGAAAGAGTAAAAATTGAAGAATAGGGAGTTATTATTTTGTGGGATCATCTGCTGTAAGACAAGCATTACTTTAAGTGTTTGAGACATACCAATAACGTTGGCAGGTACACATACTGATGCAAATGTAATTTACTGAACAAGTAGGCAAACACCTAAGCATCCCAACCCCTCCAGCAGAGCACAACCACGCTTCAAAAATTCAATTTTAAAATTAAAAAGATAAGGTTAAATACACAAGATCAATTTATGTAGTATATAATCACCCTCAGAAAGTGCTGAAGATGTTTGTGTAGTTCTGTTGCACAGAGGGTTCTTTCCCTGAGGGCACATAAGGAGCTCTCAACTGTTAATAGGTCTCTATTTTGTAACAAAATAGCAATTTTAAAATCTTAAAAAAAAATACATTACCTTCAACATGGAAGATCTCACTATTAAATATCCATGAAATAGACAGACTGGTTTACATAACCTTTTTGGAATTACAAACAGAAAAAAAAAAAAAAGACTGGAAGCATTTCAAATATAATAAGCTCATATTCATAGAAAGGTTCTGATATAAATTATATAACAATCATGTTCCTGTAATATCCTAGGCTAATTTATAATGTCAGAAATAAGTTAATGTAACATGGTTTAAAACTCTTGTTCCTATTCATTTCAGGTTACAGAGTGAAATAAATAAAATGTCTTTGTAGGGATGGGGAGCACTGGCCATGGCAAAAAGGTACAGTACTAACCAAAGGAAACTAAGTCAAGGCTACTGTGCTGTTACGCTACAAACAAACATCTTCATACACTTAAGCATTAAATAAATGTGTAAGATCTTCCATACTGACACCAGAATATCAAAACTACCCCTTTGTTTCTCAGGTATTATTTACAACTTATCAGTCACCTTATGAGCATGTTCATTAAGACAGTTATCAAACACCAGTATTTACTCATTCCAATCAAGAAATTTCAGGGAAATGTCAACCCTCCCACCCCTGGAAATGTGCACAAAACTTTTATCAAAATCTTACAATGCTGTGGTTTTTGTAAAATAACTAAATAGCTCAGACGACCAATAACATGATCCTGTTTAAGCATCTTGCTAGCAGGAGAAGCCCTTACATACAGTACACCTGGTGAAAGATCAGCTTGGCTTAAAATATTCCAGTACAATTTTTAGAGTAAACAACTTCACAGAAGTTAATTAAAAAATAATGAAAGTCAAACTAATCTTAAAGAAATAGAGGAAAAACAAAACAAAACAAACAAACAACAACAACAACAAAAAACAAACTATAGGTAAGATTACCACCAGGAAGGAATGCCCAGCATTTGTTTTCAAATGTTGACTGAAATTTAAGCTTCAATAAAATACCATCCACAAATCTGAGACATGGCTGGTTGAACATACTGCATATTTTCAGATGCCAAGTGAAAATTTCAGTCACATTATGGCAGGGCGGAAATTATTCATTTTTTTATGTATGGATAAATGTTAGCCAATGTTCTACTACTACATGGTTCAAAGTCTTATCAACCTAACAGTCAGAAAACAAGGAAAATTAAACTCAACATGAAGTTAACAATAAACAATATCTAACTAAAACAATGCAATGAACACCCAAATTAATTTCTTTAAATTAAAGACCCAGCAATACCATCTTGTTAGTCAGTGCAAACGCTACATACAGGGTTTTCTCAAGAAAGCTGAAAGCACCTGATTTCTTTTGCCAAGTCATCAGATTCAATAATGTACAGGCTTAAATCTGCATTTTAAAAAATTGCCATTACATTAGTGCATAATTTATCAAAATTGTAAAAACGATTCTGCATAACTTAGGAGAATTTAATATCTAGTACATCAGCTGAAAGACTTAGGCACTTGGTTATATTTTTAATTAATTACTTCAACAAGTAGCCTGTGTATAAATATTAATAAAGCAGAAACTAGTCTTGAAAATGGAAAATTAAAAAAATTAAATGCTACAGATAAAAGCACTGCACCACATTTCTACATATAATGCAGTAAAGAAAGCTACTATATAACCCTGTAAAACTCTATGCAAAGAACAATTAACTCCACTCTTCAAAAAATGAAAAAGAAAAGGAAAAAAAAATCCATGCAAAGTCCAATAAAAAAGATAAATAAAGCAGCTGGAATGAGATGGAAATTTCTCTCAGTGAAACATAAAATAGAAATAAATTAGTTAATTAACTCTACTTTCACTAGATGTATCATTGTAGGATCCTGCTAGTTTAATAACTGAGTTGTTAATTTACCGTAGAAGCCATTTAAAATAGGAAATGGCTCAGTTACTGCACCGGATTGCTACAAACTCATAAAAAGCTGCTTGAAGCTTAAGTTAAATGTTGTCCAAATTCCAATAATTTCTGGAAAGTGAACGTTACCCTAGTAAAGTAAATTTTCTTTTTTTTTCATAATGCTAATGCAAGAGGGCTTGAAGTATCAAAGAGTCCACAGGAAATGGATGCCCCCAGTAATATCTTTTTTTTAAAAAAAATATACATTATATAATATATATTATATATATAAAAAGCTAGTGTAAATGCTTCCATGGTGTGGTCACAAATTTGAAAGATGAGCCTCCTTTCAGCTGTTAACCATCTTCCCATTTGCAATAGGTTTTAAAAAGTCGTTTTTATCTTCAGACATAACATGAGTTTTCAGAATGAGGTTGCCAGCACTGACAGATGTGGTGATGGGGAGGCAGCCTGCACTGCTAATGGACACTGGGAGTGGTTGGCTAAAGCAAGACGTTACCGGCAGAATTGTTTTTTGCTCCTCCCTGAGAGAAAATAAATGATAGTGAAAGCAAATTAACTTTAAGTGCAAATATTTAAGTTATATATGCTCTCTAAAAGCTATTTCAAACTTTAAGAGCCCACAGAAAAAGCCTATCTTCTTTATCAAGAAAAGTATTGAATGGGGGCTGGAGAGATGGCCTCAGCAGTCAAGAGCACTAGCTGCTCTTCCAGAGGATCATTTCAATTCCCAGGACCCAAATGGTAGCTCACAACTGTCTGTGACTCCAGTCCTAGGAGATGCAATGCCCACTCTGGCCTCTCTAGGTACAAAACTTGCACATGGTGCACAGACATACATGCAGACAGAACACCCAGACACATAAAAATTAATAAATAAAAATTAAAATGTTTAAAGTATCAAAAGTCTCTAAAAAGGTCCTATTTTCCACATTTATGATAAAAATTAAAATATTGATTAGATGACATATAAATTGTCAAGCTTAAGACCAGGCCCAAATCTCTGGCAGTAATTAAACAAACTGGCAATATAATACCCAAGAAAATTATAACATGATTCTTAAAACAAGAAACATTTAACATAGTTTTGGTTTGCACTAGTTTTTATGATTAAAAAAAAAAAAAGATTTATTTGTTTTATGTGTACAGGTGTTTTGCTTTCATGTATGTATATGCACCATATGTGTACAAGGGGGTTGGATCCCCTGGAACAGGAATTATGGACGGTTGGTTGTGAGCCACCATGTAGATGCTGGGAACCACACCTGAGTCTTCTGCAAGAGCAACAAGTGCTCTTAACAGCTGAGCCTCTCTCCAGACTCTTATGGTTTGTTTTTTAAACAGGGTCTTGCTATGGATTCCATGACAGCCTAGAACATGTAGGTAGCCCATTCTGCCTCTGCCTCCCAAGTGTTGAAGTTACAGCTGTGTTAATCTACGAATTAATTTTCCATCTACAAGTTTGGTCAAATTGAAGAAGTATAACCTAGAAACAAGGAACTTTCATCCCAATAAATAGTTAAGTTTTGGATTATTAAAATAAACTGCTTTACTAGTTCAAATTTCTCGAAAAATACAGACTGACCAGATCATTACTTTATTAGATAAGGTTTCCCCCAATAGTAAAAAGTCAAAATGAATCTAACACTGCATCTATTTCTCATAGTATTTACACCCTATGCCCCCTGTTTAGGAAGGGTCTGTCTAACACTCACAGAGTCACATGGTCTTCACCTAAACTCTGTCTCTTCTGCTTCACTGAGTCCTTCTGCTGCTGCTGGCTGGGATGGCCATTTTCCACTGCTGTTCCATTCAGCAACTGATCATTTTGAGAACTGATACCAAGTTGTATGTCCAGGATTTCCTAAGAAAATAAAATGTTAACCTTTCAATATGACAGTATTTTATGCGTTTTAATTTACAACAGAACAAAGCCAACTAATTATATAATTGTAGTACTTACTTCAATTTGTTCACTTTGTCCATCAGGTTCATCAGTATCAAGTGCAGAAAGCTCTAACTCAATATCTCTATCGGGTTTCGTATCTACTGTGTCTTCTGTATAATCACTCTGTAAATAAGAAAAATATTAATTTTACATTTGCAGAACCTGGAGTCTCCTTTAAATTAAAATGGGAATCCTAACGATTTAGCTAAAGAATTAGTTCAGAAGTCTGAGACTATTATTTCTACTCTAAGTTTTAAAAAGTAATCAATCATTTATCTGGAAAATTCACTAAGACATAGTATATCCCAGTACACAGCTGCAGAAAGCAAATACATTAACATGAAGCCGAGACATCATCCCCTTACCTCTCCATTTCTCAATTCAATTTCCTTGCTTAGAAGATTTAAAGTAAGGTGACGGCCTTCATCCAGGGAATTCCACTTCTGCTGCATGGCTAGAGCATTAGCTTCCCTCTGAAGAAGTAATGAGTTACTCTTGGCCTCCATGAAGAAAGAGGAAAACATAAACTTAGCTTTCTATTAATATTTTACTTTTTAAAAATCAAAGCTAAATAAATAGAGCCTACCTGCTGAAGTTCAATACTCAAAAGGTCTCCAGTACTGGAATGCTTTCTATGGCCAGACAAATCAGTAACAATGAATCTGTCCCTTTAAAAAGAAGTATGTTTATTGTAGTTAAAGTGAGAGATAAAGCAACTAAGACATTAATGACTCTATGTTCTTTGAATGTATTTAGTCATTATTCTATATACGTATGTTTCAGAGTTTTTTTATACAGCTCAAATTAGCTGTGCATCTACTGTGGCTTCTTCCATGGACAACCAGTTATTTGTCCACTATATACATATATCGCTATATATAAAATGTATATATATAATTTTTTTTCCCAGTTTTTCAAGACAGGGTCTCTCTGTGTAATAGCCCTAGCTGTCCTGGAACTCACTCTTTAGACCAGGCTGACTTGGAATTAACAGAGATCCACTTGTCTCTGCCTCCCAAGTTATGAGATTAAAGGCATGTGGCACCATTGCTCAGCTGGTTTCTATATTTTAAAAGGCATGAAATTTGAAAGTAAAGACTCTTTTTTTTTTTTTTAAAGATTTATTTATTTATTATGTATACAATGTTCTGCCAGCACACCAGAAGAGGGCACTAGATCTCATTATAGATGGTTGTGAGCCACCATGTGGGTGCTGGAAATTGAACTCAGGACCTCTGGAAGAGCAGCCAGTGCTCTTAACCTCTGAGCCATCTCCCCAGCCCCGAAAGTAAAGACTCTTAAGGAAATGAGAGTACAGTTACCGCTCAATGTAGTGTGCTGATGATGTGGCCTCACTGCCATATGAACTCCACCTTGAATCAACAGCATTGACATAAGGGACATAATCTGTAAGAAACAAAAAGAAACAATTATTAGAAAAGCAGAAAATAAGAGATGGGCGTCGGTGGCGCATGCCTTTAATCCCAGTACTTGGGAGGCAGAGCCAGGTGGATCTCTTTGAGTTCGAGGCCAGCTTGGTCTATAAAGAGAGATCCAGGACTGCCACAAGTTTGAGGCTAGCTCAGATACAGAGTGAGACCCTGTCTCAAAATAAAATAAAATAAAATAAAATGACAAAAGAAATTTTAAAAATCAGTATATAGGTATGAATATACTTTGTAAATGGCTGTGTATTTTTTCCCACTAGCCAAAGGTTTTGTTTAAACCACTTCATCCCCAGTTTAACATGGTTACTAAATGGAATGTTTTCTACCTCACAGGTTAGGAATACACAGTATAAATTCTTTGGTATTACTAAAATGGATCACCTGATACACTGATGGGCTTAGTTGCACTTCCTTGGGAAGCAGTGGCCTGGACGGGATCTGTTGTATGGTAACCTGTTCGGGAGGATCGGGAAATTGCACCCCATTTTGAGATAATGGGTCCATCACTAAAGGGAATAATTGGGTCTTCTTCTTTTGTCCTTCTCTGAGTTTCAAATAAATGAACTCTTCTCTTAACATCCCCACTGTCCAGGTCCTGAAGAAACCAAAGATATCAGTCAAAGAGCTGCTGGTGATTACTGTAGATTAATGATAAAGCATGTTCTTAAAAGATACATAATTAGGCTTTTCTGGTCAATTTTACACTAATTATGGATCTCAATGGTATGTAACAACCATATTAAACTACCAAACTACAGTCAAATGAAACATTCCATGAAATTTGTTAAAATATTACCCTGTACTTACAGATAAGTTATACCATCAGAATATAAAAGACTAAAGCCTTCATTTTAAAACTTGAGACATCAACATTATCTTCCCTACCTCCAAAGCCCCCTTTTCCCCAATCAAGCAAAATCATACCATTAGCACAGCATTTGAATTAGCAATTACATCTTTGGGCTCTGAATCAATAGCATTTATACAAGAGCCTATGGTGCCACAAGACCAGGGAGAATAATGGGAAAGATGGTCTTCCTCAAATTTTGTGCCACTCACACTCTCAGAGAACTGATTAAAAGAAGAAGAAGAAAAAGGCAAATTAGTATGAAACCTAACTTTACAAGCTTGTAATTAACACTGAATATTACACAATTAAAGGATCATATAGTTAATAATTAAACTCTTTCCATAATAACTATCATTTGGTGACCTGAGGCAGAACTGCATATAGTTCAAGGTTAACCTGGGCTATATATTGAGTTCCACAGCAGCCTGGCTGTGTGGAGCAGAACCTTCTCTCAAATGGAATAAAACAAACAAACAAATAAATGAATCAGCTCTAAGCAATAATATTCATATAATAGAAAATGCACACCTTCTTTTCCTTTGTCTTGTAAGTTATTTATTCTGTATCTTCTTTCACTTTTGTCCTATTAAGTGATCTTTAAATTTTTTAAAAAAATACTTAAATTTCACTTTCATTATTTACTTATCTAGTGTGCATGTGTACACAGGTACCATAATTTGTGAATAGAAGCCAGAGGACAACTTGTGGGAGTTGTTTCTCTCCCTCCACCATGTGGACTGCAGGAATCAAACCAAAAGTATCAGGCTTTGCAGCAAGCAGCCCTACCTACTAAGCTGTCTTACTGCCTCAGTCCTTTAACTGCTCTTACAAAACTCCTGACCAACACTATCAAAATCAATTAATAGTAGTAACACACTAACATGGTATATGATGCTTGCAAAAAAAAAAAAAAAAAGAGGAAAAATAAAAACATAGATAGCTCACAGTCCATGTCTTAGAGCAGTCTGTAATTTCTTTGAGAAAAGATTATGTAGCAAATGAACATATTAAATCATGCAGCATTAACTAGCAAAAGGAATTCAAAGGCAGCACTGAAGCTAGAAAAGGAAAAGAACAGATGTGAAAGGAAATTTAAGGCACTATAGTAATACTGCCAGGACACTAAAGTTGTAAGAATCATAAAATCTACTTGACTAATTATAGAGATAGGGAAACTGAGGAACAGAAAAGTTAAACATGAGTAATGCTATTTGCCAACAGCTGCTCAGTGTGTGTGATGGGAACCAAACTCTGGAATAGCAGCAAACACATTCAACTGTTGAGCCATTTCACCATCCCCTGATTTTGTTTGTTGAGACAGTGTTTCACTAGGTAGCCTAGGCCTCAGCAATTCTCCTGAATCAGCCTTTCTAGTGCTGGGTGTATAAATATGAGTTTTTCTTAAAGTACACTGTATAAAACAAACAAACAAAAAACAAAACAAAACATGAAAATATGGGCCAGGCGGTGGTGGTGCACACCTTTAATGCCAGCACTTGGGAGGCAGAGGCAAGTGAATGGATCTCCACGTCCAAGGCCAGCCCAGTCTACAGAACAACACAGAGAAACACTAACTCAAAAAAAAAAAAAAAAAAAAAAAAAAAAAAAAAAAAAAAATAAAAAAAACAACACTAACAATCATTGCAAAGCTGTTTACTTGTTCTGAGGCAATCTCAGTTTAGTGAGAGGAATATGGATAGGTTAAATATGTAGTGTTTTATGAAATACTCCTTAATAGAACTCTTTATCTAATTTGGGTGTTATAACTCATATTTATACACCCAGCACTAGAAAGGCTGATTCAGGAGAATTGCTGAGGCCTAGGCTACCTAGTGAAACACTGTCTCAACAAACAAAATCAGGGGATGGTGAAATGGCTCAACAGTTGAATGTGTTTGCTGCTATTCCAGAGTTTGGTTCCCATCACCCACACTGAGCAGCTAATAACCTCCTCTAACTCCTGCTCCAGAGAATCCAGTACTCTCTTCTGGTCTCTATGGGCCTCTGTTCATGTGGCATATTCTCAAACAAGAGAGACAGACAGGCAGACACCCACACACAGAGATTTTAAAAAAGAAAAGTAAATTAAAAAACAAAACCCCACAAGTTTAATTTAAAAGATTATGTGTGTATAGCTAGGACTATGCCAAAATAATCCAGTGGCAAGAAGTACAAATGAAACAAATTTGACCAAATTGACAATTATGAAAGTGATATAATTATATGCAATTACTTTGAGTCTTTACATTTTTTTGTATGTCTGAAACTTTTCGTAACAAAGATTTAAAAATAATTTTTTTTCGGGGGGGGGGGGGAATTGTACCAGAAACACTGGGAGTGAAGAATAAACCAGGGTATTCGAAAAATATTTTTTCACTGGGTGATGGTGGTGTACACCTTTAATCTAGCACTGGGGAGGCAGGTGGATTTCTGTGAGTTTGAGGCCAGCCTGGTCTACAGAACGAGTTCTAGGACAGGCAGAGTTGTTACACAGAGAAATCCTATCTGAAAAAAAACAAAAAGAAAAAAATAAAATTTCTGTCTAAATATTCTATATATAGAGAAATAACACACACACACACAACATAGAAAAAAAAGGCAGGTAGAATGGAAATCAGCCTGTCATAGACTTGTTTTGTAATAGGAAGAATAACAGAGATACAAATAGCAGAAATAATACAGCAGGCATTTCTGCACTTGTGAAACAGGAAAAAAAAATTAGGACTCAAACTTCATCTATTTATAAACTGAAAGATCTTGTACAAATTATTTAACTTCTCCTGGTTACAACCCATGAAATGGGGACAATACCTGCCCTCTGAGCTTTTCATGAGAATTAAATGAAATAGCATTTTTTTAAAGTCACATGGACCAATCAGGGGTTAGGGTGAAGTTCAGTGGTAGAGAATGTGCAAGGCTCTGGGTTTGGACCTAGTCCAAAACACAACAGCCAAGAAACATAAGAATAAAAATATAAAGTATTAGGTCTATTGCTGCAAAGCTTTTGAAATCCTGGTAAAGGACTCTTAGATTGAGAATCTCCTCACCTAGCCATAGTTTACACACTGGTTACTGAGGTAAATTCGACTCCATAGAAAACCATTCAAAAAATATCCAAAATAGTTAACCCTAGTTTAAAGTCAGCTGTTTGACCATTCGTGATTAATAAGCAGTTAAAACCTTTCTTACCTCTGTTCGGAAGTCTACACTGAATAGAGGAGAAGGTGGTGTTGGTGATTGTGTTGCCACAGGAAGTGTTGAAGAGACAGGTGCTTTCTGGGTATGGTACTGTGCCCACTGATCTGGTTTTCTTCTTATCTGTTCCTCACAAGTGGTCTTCAAATGACCACAAGGCTCCTAAGAGGGACAAAAGAAAAAAAAAATTTGGTCACTTGTAGAGTGGTAAATAAACTTAACTAAGTTCTGTGAGAATAAAGTAAAAAGCTTCATATTGTTGGGACACACACACATACACAAAGAGCAGAGAAACTGCCTCAGCACCCTATTGTTCTCTCTATATACTCAAACAAAAAGGTTAACATGTTCAGCTGATGTCAAATATAATGTGAGCACTTGAGCACTCATTTTTCTACTTTAGAAGTCGTTTGTATATATGTGAAACTACTGAAAAGAGGCCTTGTCCTTATATCTTCAGTACTATTTAGAAACTTCTGTAACAGTTTCTAGCTGAACGTAACTTTTTTTGAACATTAGTATGTATGAAGTCTAGTTCTAAGAGCTTTTATTTTTTTTAATTAATTCTCACAACAGCATTATGAGTAGGCACTACTCATTTCCATCAAACATGAAAAAACACAAAAGCTGAGTCATACAAACGTCAAGTAACTTCTCTAAATCACACAGTTAGTGAGTCTGCTTGGTTTGTCTCAAGACACAAGACAGTAGTTAGTTAACTCAACTAACACATGACAGTAACATTTCTATGTTCAACATTATTTACCCTTGGTAAAGGCACAGTCGTCCTTGGCTCATTTGGTGGCTGACAAGCCACTGAATAATATCCATCTAATGAGTTGTATCTTTCCCGTAAAGATGTCTGATAGACAGATGAGTGCATCACATCCATTGGAGGTAAAGAATTGCTTCTAATAATATCATCTCGTTGGTACATAGCTGGGCGCCAGATGCGCCTGCTGTCATACACAGGAGCATACATTCCAGAAGGTACGGGGGGAACTGGTCCATACTGCTGCGGAGGAGGAGGCTGGTAAGGAGAGGAATTCATTCGGTCTCGAGGGGAAAAGGTACTGTAATGATCGGCATATGGCATGGAAGCAGGTGGGAGGGAGGACTCTGGAACATTATTGGACCTCACAAAGCGAGGAACACAAGGAGTCACACCAGCTGGTACCGTTGGAGGTGGTGGGTAGTATCCTTGAAAATTGGAAAGAGGAATATTCAATGTAACATCTTAGTAAAAACCAACATTTTATAATGGTTCAAGTCTAAAGCAGCTCTGATTGTGGGAATATACAATAAACGTTGACCTTTACCTTGATATAGAAACTGCATTATCATCAAGATACCATTATACTAATACCAACATTCAACACTGTTAAAACTATTCCATAAAATCAAAACACAGAGCTGTTGGCAGATGGCAGACTGATTCCTGTTTAATGAATCTTCTCTCTCTGTCTCTCTCTCTCTTTTTCTTAAAGGTTTTTCAAGACAGGGTTTCTCTGTACGCTGGCTGTCCTGGAACTCACTTTGTAGACCAGGTCACCTGCCTCTCTGCCTCCCAAGTGCTGGGATCAAAGATGTGTGCCACCACTGCCCAGCCTGTTAAATGAATCTTTTGCATGAGGTTTCTAAGTAAGTAATTAGTTATATCACTGGTTCTTGTTAAGCATTTGGGTCCAGAGGTTAAAGATCTATTTCAGAATTCATTATTCATTTTCTTTTCAAATTGTACAAAAAAAAAAAGGTATGGTGGCATGCTCCTTTAATCCCAGCATTTGTGAGGCAGAAGCAGGTAGACCTCTGAGTTTGAGGCCAGCTTGGTCTAAGAGTTTCAGACCAGCCAGGGCTATATATAGTTAAAGACTCAGCCTCAAGAATAAATAAAAATAAAAAAAAAGCAGGGTTGTAGAGATGGCTCAGTGGTTAAGAGCACTTCTTGTTACTGAGAAAGACCTGGGTTCAGTTTCCAGCACCCACAGAGCAGCTCACAACCATTGTTAACCCCAGCTCCATGTATACATATATGCAGGGAAACACTCATATACGTAAGAGTGAAAATAAGTCTTTTAACAGAGCACAAAAACATTATGTTTTATATACCATTTCATTGAGTTCATGTATTTGATTCTTAGAAATGAATCAAATTAGTATCTAGGTAGGAGAATTTAAGACTCTTATCTCTAACCAGTTATAAAAATTAATTCTGTATAGATTAACAATTTCTATGCATCACCTGGAATATAAACCTATTGGAAGAAATCATGAGAGATGCTTCAAGGTACTAGAATGTTTTTTGAAAGACCCCAAAAGTATAAAAACAAAGGCAAATCGGGTAAATGGAACTGTATCAAACAATAAAACTTCTCATAGGAAAAAAACCAGACTAGAGGCAACGTACAGCATGACAGAAAGTATTTGCAAGCTACATATATGATAAATGCAATAAAAAAAAACCAAAGCAACTTGATAAATATAAGCAGGATATCTAAATAAACATTTGTCAAAGATATCCAAATGGCAAATTAATATAATAAAAATGCTTAACATCAGTAATATTTTGGAGTATACAAATAAAAACCAAAATGAAGTATCATCTCACTCCAGTACAAATGGCTATTATTTAAAAAAAAAAAAAAAAAAAGCCAGGACAGCAATATGGCTCAGTTGTTAAGACCAAAATTCAATATGAGCTTACTCCCACACCACTCCCCAAACGCACATGGTAGAAATAGAGGACTACCATATGTGCATGAATGTTCCCCCTTTATTATACGCCCCCACCCACACACAAAATACCAAAGATATCGAGTATTGACAAGGTTGTATAGCAATAAAACCCCCTGTATACTACTGGTGGGAATGTAGAAAACATACGCATCTAGGTATATGAATGGTGCTAATGTAATGTAATGTTAATGCAAATGAAAATGAATAATAGCCTTGGTTGGTTGGTTGGTCTGTTCTCAGAAAGAGTCTCATGCTGGGCTTGAACTCACTATGTTAGCTGGCTTTGACTTCTTGATTCTCCCTGCCACCACCTACCAAGTGATAGAATTACTAACTAGAAGGAAAGATTTCTTAGAACAGGAAGAAAACTTATGGGTCAGAGTGGAATTAATCTGTTAAAGTAGATAATCTAGAAACTCATTTATTTGGGGTAATAAATACACAGTTTGCTTCTTTGTTCTTAGAACTGACTAAAATTACTTACCTGTTTGTGGGTATTGTGGGACTTCAAAGGGTATTTGAGTCCTTGGATCTTGAAAATACTGAATGCTTTCAGAATGTTGAGGATATACTGGAACTCTAGTTAGAAAAGGGCTGGATTTCGGAGGCACAGAGCTCAGCTCTGTTCCAAAGTTAGAGGGCCCAGTGGAGGTAGCTGCTGCATTACTTACAGGAGTCTTGGGTGGAGAACCAATTTTACTGGAGAGAAAAATCAAAGGAAGAAAAAAGGATAACTCACTATGATTGCTAAGTCTTCCTCAGAAATTTCTCATAAAACTGTAATGCAAAACTATCAACAGAAAACATGTCAGGTATTTTGACAGGGGCAAATATATTTGGCAAGAAATTTCACTGCCTCCTCACACTATAATTCACAAGCCCATACAGTAACAGTTCTCATGTTCTGATGAGGCTAACAGTATATAAAAACAAATTCCAGGCACTAAAGTTGCTTTTCAGCTGATTCTGACTCATTCTTTAAAGACTTTTCCTGTTTGGGGGGGGGGGGACCCAAAAATTCTGCTCAATAAGTTTAAAAAGTAAACAATAAAGTCTATCAGAAGAAGTCTTTGGGGCAAAGAAGATAGACATAGTAAAAAATAATTTGATTAGCTAAAATGTAAAATAAAAGAAGCCCATTTTTGTCTGTTAACTCTATGTGTGTGACATCAAGACAACAGTTCCTGGCTTGGAGTAGGCACTCAGTAAACATTTGCTGGACAAATAAATATAAAATTCTAGCACAAAGTGAGTACTTAATATGTGTTGGGTGGATGTAATGCCAATTAATTTGTTTTAACACAAAAGGATTTTCTTGGTTGAATAAGCAAGTACTCAGCACTAGAGAATATTATCATATTTTTGTTCCCTTTCAAAAAAAGCTTTAAGAACTCTGCCAGGTGATGGTGGCACACAACTTCAATCCCAGCAATTGGGAGGCAGAGGCAGGTGGGTCACAGTGAATTCAAGGCTGGCCTGATTTACAGAGCAAGTTCCAGGACAGCCAGGGCTAGAAGAGAAAAAAAGCTTTAAAAACCCTATAAAGTGGGCTGGGTGGTGGTAGTGCACACCTTTTAATCCCAGCACTTGGAAGGCAGAGCCAGGCAGATCTCTGTGAGTTCAAGGCCAGCCTAGTCTACAGAGCAAGATCCAGGACAGGCACTAAAACTACACAGAGAAACGCTGCCCCCACCCCCCACCCCCAAAAAAACCAACCAACCAAACATAAAAACCTAGAAAGAGCTTTAAATATGTTTTGCCCCAAGAGATGATCATGTTAATTATGTAGGAATTCAATGTATTACAACCCAATCACATTAAGAAGCTTTTTTTCAGCCAGGCGGAAATCCTAGCATTCAAGAGGCCTCTCACAACACCTCTCCTTAAAGAACTGAGCATACATATTCCTGTGTTCCAGTAATACAAAGCCTTTCCAAGTGTATCATACAGAATCTATTTACATATCTAACACCCAAACTACACTAGAAGACTCTTAGAGGGAGGGGTTGTATCTTCATTAAGGACATCAGTGTGTCATGTGTTAGGTAATCCATATATTTAAATTAATAAGTAGTTTTCTTATATATTAAAATTTTTTTTATTACATCTTATTTACTCGTGTGTTCACATGTGCATGTGTACACACACAGAGAAGTCAGGACAGCCTATAGTACATTCTCTCCTTACAGCACTCTAGGTCCCTGGGGACTGACCACCAGTTGTCAGGCTTGGCAGCAGGTGCTTTTCCTTTGCAATCCATCTTGCTAACCCTTACAAATACCTTTCTTTTTTATATCTAATCACTTATATGGTGTGCTTGTGTGTATTCATTGGCATTCACCTCCCAAAACAGTATATATGAAGAACAGGAAGGTAACTTTTAGGGAGTCCCTTCTCTGCTTCCACTATATGGTTTCAGGGGACTGAACTCAGATCATCCATCAGGCTAGGCAGCAAAGGTCTCTATCAATACATTGAATCACTGCACCAGCCCTGTCTGTTTCTTATGTGGTAGAGCAGGTGTCTAAAATATAGAAGGACCTGGGCTTGATTCCCAGACCAAAGGAAAAAAGAAAGTTAAGAACTCGAACTATAATTCATGGTTTTGAGGTATGTATCACTGGCTTTCAATATAAGATTTCCAACTATCTAAACAGAAGCCTGAACCCATTAGCATTCACTCCTTATGTCCATTCTTAGCTCCAATAGTGACTACCGCACGTCTTTCTCTCTAGAGAACTGCAAATGGCATTCTGCACCTGGCTTCTTTCAATCAGCGTAAGTTTTTTTTTTCTCTCTTGAAAGTGGATTTAAAAGTGGGAACTTGTACATGTTGGCAAGCATGCCACGAATAACCTATATATGGGGGAGGGGTGGAGGAATTGACAAGGTCTTACTAATTTGTTCAAGCTGGCCTGGAATTTCTTCTGTATCGTAGGCTTGCCTTGATCTTGGGATTCTAATAACTCAACCTACTAAGTGCTTAAGACTACATACCTGCACTACAAGGCCTGGTGTAGCATATTTCTAAAGTTGATCAACATGTGACACATAATAGTACCTTACTAATTTTTCATGGCTGAATAACAGAACCCATTGTTATGAATATAAGTTTTGTAATGTTACCTTGCCAAAATCTTCAGTATTCTATTTTCTAAACATGTAGCATAAGGTTTTTATAGCCTCATAAGGTTCTCACAGCCTCATAACAATCAACTTACCATAAGCTTATTTTATGTATCAGTCAGTAACATAAACCTTCAGATATATAAATGAGTGTATGGTGCTAGGGACCAAACCAAGGACACTGTGCATGCAAGCAAGCACTTTACCATTGAGCTAGGTCTCCAGCACAAACATTCAGTTCTCTAAGGCTAGCCCTAACACTTCACATATTTACTAACAAACTTACACCATACTTTCTTTTCCCCCCTCAAAACTTTTATACTACATTAGGAACATGGAATATTCCCATCCTTTAACTAATATGCTTCATTTGTGTAAACGCTACATCTACACCTATAGCACTGAGTCCTTTAAAAGCAGAGAAGTCTATTTTTCAGGTATTTCTAACTGCCAGTGACAAAGCTTGGAATAAAGTAGTCAATATTTTTGATGTGTCGTCTCTCAAATACATTCCAGTGAAGATCATTCTTTTAATAAAGAATTTCCCCCACTATATACTGGACTATAAAAGTTGAAAATATTAGATTTAACTTATATTGTCTCCATGACATGAAGTCAGTACAGGTTTCCTGTGCCAAGCATGTGCCAAGCATGATGCTTTTTTCCACAGCAGGCATATAGTAGTACTGACAAACTTACTCAAGGGCAATGAAATCTGAATATGCTTTAACTTCAATTTTTAAACTTCAAAATATGAGATTCCAAAACTGTAAGTAACTTCCAATTATCTGAAAGTTTTAACACTTTTCATAAGGAAAACAAAAATCCCTTTATTAAAAGAAATCTTATGTCTACAGCCAACAATAATGGTAGTAAAAATAAAGCAGATATTACTGAGTGGCTACTAACGGACAACTACTGTTCAAAATACAGTACAGCATTAACTCATTTAAGTTTCACAATCAATATATGAAGTACTTGACCACTGAGCTGTACACCTAAGCCCATAAGGAAGATATTGTAATTTTATGAATAATTTGAGGTAGACTGATAAACAACTGGCTTAACATCCAATAAGCAGAAAGAAGTGAGCCATAATGTGAGCCCAAAGAGCTCGGCTCCCAAGAGTCTGCCCTTAAATACATTACAGAGAAGCAGTGGAAGCTGACTGAAACAGGGCTAGACATTCGACCTTTTCACTCGTTTAGATTTCTATTTAGCATCTCTATGAAATACTGACACTCAAAAAAAAAAAGGTACGGAAACCCTAATTCTGGTCCAAATTCACCAATATAGTTGAAGAAAACAAAACTCAAGAGTTACTGACTTTGCAAATTTGTGTATCTATTTAAATGCCTAGTGAAGATTAGAACTCATTTTTGCTAGGTGGTGGTGGCATAAGCCTTTAATCCCAGCACTCAGGAGGCAGAGGCAGGTAGTTTGCTGAGTTCGAGGCCAGCCTGGGCTACACAGTGAGCTCCAGGACAGAAAGAGCTACACAGAGAAACCCTATCTTAAAAGACCAAAGGGAGAAAGAAAAAACCCTCAAATTTCTTGGTATTTAGCATTCTTTCTCCCTTATTTCATGAATAATTGTGCATAAAAACTTCAAGTATTGTACCTCAGGATGAAGAAAGTGATGTCATTTCTAAAGGGACAAAGAATCCCACCATTTTCACCAACACCTACTTTTCAGAGACAGACTCTGCAGAGGGCCCAGCAGTATTCTGGCCACTAGTGCCAACTTTCCCAACTTTCTTCACAGTCTCCAGAGTCCTCAATGCACTGTCAGTGCTTCGTGGGATTAGCTGGGAAACACCACTGTCTGCATTTGAAATTCCATTTGTACTTGGAACAATTTTCCCCGGTGTTTCAGTACTTCCTATGACAGGAAGGCCATTTCCAGCTGTAGTTGTGACAGTACTGTTTACACCAACTTTATTCAGAAGAGGAAACGTTCTTACAGTTGCGCTCATCTTTTTGTTCCTTAATCGGTACCTGTTTAAAAATAATCAACATATTTGTAATACTGTTCCCAATTTTAATCTGAAAATACAAAAAGAAAATATTCTTTAAAAAGGAAATAGCTTTGAAAAGTTTCTTTAGCTAAATAACAAATACTTCTCCATGTCACATATATATGTAACATACATGCAAAAACAGGCACATAATTAATATAGTAAGCAAAATACTCATGCACTCCAAGCTTTCTGAAAGAGTGGGGTTTGAAAATCTTCTGTTTTTATGTGGTACCAAAAAAGTACCAAATTCTGAAAGTAACAGAACAAACAGAAAAGGATTCAAGAGTTGAACACATTCTCTGCTGTAATTTTAAATAATAAAAACTCAAACTCATTTTAAACTTACACCAAAATATAGAAATTTTGTATTATTCCCAAATGAGTTTATGTCCAAAGAAAAGAGTATTTAGATCACAGATTTTTCTGATATTAGTTTATTTATGGAGACTAGATGTAATATTGTAATATACAAAGCAATTTGATCTTGGATTTCATATAAAAATATTTCCATTTGTATATCAAAAACTTCATTCTGGGACTGGAGAGATAGCTGAAGGGTTAAGATCATGGGCTGCTTTTTCAAAAGACCCAGGACCCATATGACACCTCACAAGAATAACCCGTTCCTGGAGATCCAATGCCCTCTTCTGGCCTCTGTAGTCACTGCATGCATGTGGTACACAGTATACATGCAAGCAAACGCTTAAAACACCTAAAATCATTATTTAAAAAATTTATAAAATTCTCATTATTACATAGTCTTAGTCCTGGTCCTTACTTCCTATAATATTCTCTTAATATTTCTAAGTGATCAACATAATGAAAACTATTTGGGATCACTATGCTTAAATTACTCTATTACTATTACTCCAACATGGTGATTATGATGAATAATGCTTGTATAATATTTTCTCCTTTAGTTCTTCAGCATCTACAAACAGCTCTATTTCAACTGTTTCTCTATGTCTGTCTCTCACACAGACTGTCAGAAGAAAAAAATTCAATAAAAGATGAGTGCCCAGAGATAAGACTGGATAATGGAGGAATAAAACAACAAAAACAAAATGCAGAATGCCAGCAATCCTTATAGTGACTAGATCACACACCATATAGGCACAGGGGTCCGGAGCCCAATGATTACTTCTTGAAGGAGAAGGAGGAGCATAAGCAGACTTACACCTCAGAAAGCAAACTGTTACCACCAAGGGGTAAGGAATTCCTGTTTCCTTTAATATGTTCTCTGAAATGTCTTCATTTTATTCTTCAAAGTTCTTAAAGAAAATGGCCAGCTACTCCTTGCTTTCCAACTTCAAAAGTCAAGCACATATCCTCTCTCTTTAAAATTTATGTCTGTCTGAGTATATACATAAGTATGTGTGAATGTGCCTGTGCTCATGTCTCAGTGAGACTTAGTCAGCAAGCCTGAGTCATACTCCTATCACTTCTGACTCTCCTTTTGATGCTGGGGTACAGACAGCTGTGGGGATACCTAGCTTGTGACACTGCTGCTGAGATTCAAAAAATCATTGGTCCTCATGATTGTGGAACAAGTGCTTTCAACCAATAATCCATCTTTCCAGTCCTATAAGTCCATATTCTTAAGGTTGTTCAAACAAGCAATAAACAAAAATTTGTTTGAGACTCTAAAAAGAGAGAGAAGTAAAATCATAACAAAATGCATTGAATCAGTGAAGAGAAGGTGTATGCACTGGCTGCTGGTCACAAAAGCCATGGACTAACAGTCTAAATCTCACATTTGAAACAGCCACTTCTTTTAAATCATCCATGAGCACCTTCAAGTATTGCCTTTCTCATTTTACACTCTACTACCAGCCACTGGGACCTCCCTTTTAAGTACCTTTGACTCCCTAGTTATAGGCTGTACAGGGAATGGTCCCCCTTACAGAACTTATCTGGCAAAATCCAGCTCAATTACTCTGTAATTATTCACAAACAAGTAGCTAAATGTTGAGGGAGGAGGGGTGCACAATCATGTTGTAAAGACCTTCAAAATTTGGTATTTAAAATCACTAAGCAATTCATTGATGTACTTCTTTCCTAACTTTATTTTCTCATTTTTAACAGTCTTTCTTTCCACAGTTCCCCTAAACCGGACAATACTGCTTCCTTGTTAATAGAGAAAATACATCGCAAAAGAACTACCACCAATTCCACTAATTTCCTGCACCTATAACAGTATATTCTACATAATACAAAGAGCAGAGTTCCAGTTCCTAAAGTCAATTTACTTGTGCTCCAGGCCTCAAAGCCTATCTGCCTTCTCAAACACCCCACTCCTGTAAGCATTTTTATTTCTCCTTTGCATTGTAACTTCAGGCAGGTGTCTGTTTAAATGTCATATCCTCTGATAACTGTTAACGGACTATTTATTTATTTGCTGCATATGTTAGTGTCTAATGTAAGCTATCTAGGACAGGGATTTCTGTCTTTCCTACATGCCTTCTATTATCAATATATATTAGTGCCTTGTACATACCAGACATTCCAAGACACATTTGCTTCCTTGAATGAATTCTAGGCTTCAAACTTTATACGGCCAAGAAAACAACCAAGTTCTCTGTCCCAATGCTTGCTTCATTTAAGTAAAAGATACAATTCAGTAATGTAGAGAAGAAAATTTGAAGCCACCGTTGATTCCTTTTATTTATTTTTCTTTTTAGTGGCTTCTGTTTTAAAATTCTCTCTCTCTCTCTCTCTCTCTCTCTCTCTCTCTCTCTCTCTCTCTCTCTCTCTGTGTGTGTGTGTGTGTGTACACATGTGTGCAGAAGCTCGCAGAAGTCAGAAGATGGTGTTGAATCCCCTGGAGCTGGAGTTACAGGTGGTTGTGACATGGGTGCTGGGAAGTAAACTCAGGTTTTTTGGAAGAAAAGCAAGTGCTCTTAACTGCTGAGCCATCTCTCCAGCCTTTTTCTTTTTAAAAATAACATACAGTTAATATATTCATCGTGTCAGATCCACTTTCAAAATAAAACCTAATGACCATTTTTCATCATTGCTATTACTACAGTATCAAGACTTCTATTTCCAATCCTGCACCTGGACCACTGTAGTAGTTAAACTAGCTTCCAAGTATATAGATGTCAGAGTTACATTTCTCATTCCAAATGAACAAAGCTCTGCAGTAGCTTTCTATTGTGATCAGAATACAATTATTTTTTACTTGTGGCCACTAAATGACTGAAATTGTTTATCTGTATGTTTACTGTTCCTCTTAAATGATTAAAAGCACCTCAGATGATATTGAGCATGTAACAATCTATTATAAATACATCTTGAATTGACTGATCTTGGTTTTTTTTTTTTTCCCTGTTTCTCAGATGGCAATTTAAGGGGATTATTTTTTTGTTTTCTTTTCAGACAGGATCTCTAGCCTTGCTGGCTTAATTTGCTATACAGACCAGGCTTGTCTCCAACTCACCGAGATCCACCTGTGTCTGTCTTCCAAGTGTTGAGATTAAAGGTAGGTGCTAATATATCAAGCTACAAGGCTGTTTCTTAAAACAGAGACAAAAAGACTGTTGGATGTCAACATTTTGTTTGGTTTGGCTGAACAAAATTTGCAAGACTGGTTTCGGTAAGAGACTGTGTATTTAAATATTAAAGCAGAGAGGTGAGCATGCACACACATACAGAGACATGGACCCCCCCCAACATACAAATATACATATCCACATAAACATAATTACACACACACATACAAATCTCAATGAAGCAGCACTATATAATTTTAAAAAGACAATGTGATACAGTAACATTGATTCTTTTTCTAACCTCCCCCCTTTTTTTGAAGAGCAATATAAAAAAATGAGGCTAACTGGAAATATGAAACAAATTGTAGATTATCTGGTCCTTCACTGAAAACACTGAATTTACATGTGAAATATAGGGTAGGTACAAGAAAGATAAAAATGAACAACCCAAGAGATAAATGATGTCCAATGAAAACATACAGGCAAATGAATAATTAGGAAAAATCAAGTTTACAACTATTAGGGATAGTAACTCTATAAGGAACATCACTATGATTTCAATGTGTTCTTCAAAGTTCAAGGTTGGAATCTTAATCCTCAATGGAAGTTTGAAGAGGTGAGATGCCCCCCTCCTCCGCAAATGATTTGGTCATGAGAGCCAATACGGTAGGGACATTTTCTCAAGTGAGGTTTTTTTCTTTTCAAATGACTCCAGTTTGTGTCAAATTGACAAAAATCTAAATAGGGCAATGGCTTAATGTCATTACCATGAGAATGGGCTCCTGATAAAAGGGGGAGAGTTCAATCCCATTTTCTCTTTTCTTCTCTCTCCCATGCGTATTTTTTTTTGCCCTTCTACCTAGGATGATGCTATAAGAAGGTTCTCACCAGACATGGCCCTTCATTCTTGGGCTTCCCAATCTATAGAACAATAAACCAAATACATTTTCTACATTATAAACTATCCACGAAGGTTTCTGTTGTAGAAGTAAACTAACACAAGTGCTTTGGCAGCATGCTGACCGAAGGAGCCAAAACTGGTCAGGCAAGTTGGGGACACCTACAGAAGCAAGATGACACCTGAGTATGATTAAACACCGACAGAAAAATGTACAAGACAAAAGGGTTAATAAACAAATGCATATAGTTGGGTGACGGATAGCACTGTCAACTTTGCAGGACCTAAAATCACCAAGGAGACAAGCTTCTGGGTATATCTGTGATAAATTTTCTAAACTTGAGTGGGAAGATACACCCAACTGTAGGTGGCATTATCACATAGTCAGGGGTGCAGGATTGAATAAAAAGGGAAAGTGAGATTCATTGCTCTCTGCTTCCTGACTGTAGATGCAAAGTGAGCAGTTGTCTGCCACTGACTTCGCCTTCATGAACTGTACCCAACTGTGAGTCAGAAGAGTCCCTTCCTTCCATAAATTTATTAGTGTTACATTATAGCAACCAAGTGCTCGCTTCGGCAGCAAATATA